GCGCGAAAATCACTAGCTCGGGAACCAAGAAAGCTGGGAGGCTGAAACTTTCAGGAAATGTTCCCAGCTCACCTACAACTTAAATTTATCAAATTCAGCCCCACAGTATGAGTGGTTGCACGTACGGCCCCGTGAAATTTTCTGCCTGGAACTGTGGAAACTTGGGAACTGTGAAAAATTGGAAGCTAGGATTTCAAGAGAATGGTCCCTGTCCAAGTATAGCGTGGATAATTAACTTGCCGAAGTTCGAGGACCAGTATGTACAAGAGGTTTCTAGCTAGCGGAATTTCAAGTAATCTTATTGCAGCACGAAACACTGCAAAAACGCATGATCGCATGGGCCGCCCAGTGCACGTCGCCAATGACTAATTTTTGAGTTGCGGAATTCTGGAAGTCAGAGTGTTATATCTCTTTTCCAATCGTTGTCCACTGTCCTGGAAAGTTAAAAAGGTGTTGATTAGAGCAACTGGTTTTCGTATCATATCATTGAAATTATGACTCGGAAGTCGGATTCCCAAATGAATATTCTTGAATGTGCGTCATACCCAAGATTTTGCGTGCGTCACATGTTCTTTTAAGAACTGGCAAATTTAATAATTCACATGGTAACAGGTTTTGCTCTCTAAATTTCGTGTTCCCAGTGCCACCAGAATTGTAAGGGCTCAGTTCTCAACTACTGAATTGTGGCGGCTAGATTTGTTCTTGACTCTCAGAAGGAAATTATGGCAGTAATTTTGACTGCAAGATTATTCCTTAGATTGGGAAAATTTTGCTCTTCAACGAAAATGTGTGAAAAACATTTGAGACTGCATTTTTTTTAATGATTATGAATTATAAGGTATGAGTTTTAAGCACGAACAGTCCCTTAATTCATTTTATTACATTTCGGCAAAGGAAACGGTTGCTTTTGTTTTTACTGCACTGTGCACAGAATCTGAATGGGTGGCTTCGCTGATTTCACATACATTTCAGCTCCAATCGACTTAGCTGAGGTACTGTGCTGTGCTGATAAAATCATTGATACTGTACGTAAATATGCTGATCGCCTGATCCCTCATTTACCCAATCAGGTATTTTTTTTTGTTTCGTATAACGAAAAACTGTGCTTTATCGAATTTTGTCACATTTAATTTTCAAAGTTGCATCGGTACTCCGCACAAATTTTTTTCTTAAACCAGGGATGTAATCTTCGTTTGTCATTTGGAGAAATTTCTCTTTTTATATTCTCCATTTTGTTTGTTGTTTTCCACTGCAAATGCGCCATTTTTTTTTTTTTCAAATTTTCTGTCGTTACGTTTGTGCTCATACACTTTTTTTTCTAAATTTCAAATTTTCTGTCGTTTCGTTTGTGTTCATACGCTGTGTCAATACTAGACTCTTAAACTAGTCAGATTTCAGAAACCGACATATACTGATGAGGAGGAGCTGGAGCACACATTACGGGCTCCACAGTTCCGACAAGCAGTTAATTTGTTTGGTCAAGCGTTGCAAGCAGGACAGATAGGTCCAGTGTTTCAACAGTTCGGCATCGATCTGAATTTGGCTACGCTTGGTGGATTTGGAAGTATCTTTTTTGTTTACTCTTTTTTTGAGACTTGTTGGCTGCATATGTATGTTTTGTTCACCGGTTCATCTGTGCACTAGTGTCGTCACATTTTTGTATTTACGAGGTCTCTTTAGGCTTTCTGGATGACCAAGCTGATGCAGCTCCCTCCACTTTTGCTCCATAGAGCTAGCTTCGCGCCATCACTCATTGTGTTGTCTTCAGAATTTATAACAACTTTTCCAATTTCAGCATTTCTTCAACATTTGACTGAGACATTTTTTCTGGGAATTTTTGGGTCTCGAGAATCTACGAGTCGTTAATTTTTCAGTTTTAGTCCTTAAAACAAACTTGCAGATATGGTCACGTGGGCGACGCATTTTACGAGGACTGAAGGCGCAAAGGTACCTGCACCTGCTACCGCGACGCCAGCACCTGCTACCGCGACGCCGGCACCTGCTACCGCGACACCAGCACCGGCAGCCACGACATCGCGTGATAGTAAGTTGCCAGTCCTAACGTCTCAGGGCAAAAGCATATTTCTTACACTACTTACTACCAGTTCTTGTCACGCTTTTTATGTCCAAAAAAAATGATGTAAAAAGGACAAAACGAGATAAATCGCGATGGAAGTGATAAAATACAGCGGGAATACTTGGATCAGCTAGCACTTATGGCTCTACAGGTGTACAGCTGCCAAGTTTTTCAGTTTCTTTGACCGACAGTGCATCTCTTGATGGTCAGTTTGTTGGCAGTTCGAACGCCTTTCCCCTAAAAAGAATACTAATTTAACCCTGAATCAGTTTGTACTTCTTACAGTTTCTCCTGGAAAAAAGCATTTGATAAAATGTTTTAATCATTTTGAGATGCTTTTTATGCGTTTTTTGCAGCAATGCAATGCGAAAAACGCATATTGACGAGAGGTTGTCTG